ATGTTAGGGAAACAAACAAAAAGATGCATTGATTCAAGAAAGAGTCAGAATTATTTAGATAAATGTTAGAAGGGTATTTTAAAAAATTTTATTCATTCCTAATAAACCTCTCAAACAGCTATAGTAGGAAACTGTTAACATGATAAATGGTATCAATCAACAGCAAATATCCAATTAAAAATGAAACGTTAAGATGGGTATGATGGCACATGCCTGTAATCTCTGCAGCTTGGGAAGCTGAGGCAGGAGGATCACGAATTCAAAGCCAACCTCAGCAATTTAGCAAGGCTCCAAGAAACTTGGTGAGACCCTGTCTCTAAATAAAATACAAAAAGGACTGGGGAAGTGGCTCAGTGGTTAAGCGTCCCAGGGTTCAATCCCAGGTACAAAAAAGAAAAAAAAAAGATACATTTAGCTGGGCATGGTGGCAAATGCCTATAATCCCAGAGACTCTAGGCTCAGGTAGGAGGATTATGAGTTCAAGCCCAGTCTCAGCAATTTAGCAAGGTCTTGTCTCAAAATAAAAAATTAAAAAGGGCTGGGGGGATGTGGCTGAGTGGTTAAGTGCCCCTGGTTCAATCCCTCCCTGCCAAAGAATCACTGTCATAAAGTCAAGGCCTTTAAAATGTGCATTGTTTTGTCACTCAACATTATTCCAAAAATCCTAAATAATACAACAAATCAATAAAAAGTTTATAAACTCACATTTACAAACAATAGGACTCTTTACATTGGAAATACAAAGAATCCACTGAAAATTAGAATCATTAGCATTAAACCAACAAAATTCTTCTGTTAAATACTGTCTCAGGTTTCATATTATTTTAAAATCAATTTTATGGCCAGGCATGGTGGTGTATGCCTATAATCCCAGAGACTTGGGAGACTAAGGCAGGAGGATTGCAAATTTGAGTCCAGTCTCAGCAATTTAGCAGGCCCTAAACAATTTATCGACACCCTATCTCAAAATAGAATATAAAATGGACTGCAGATGTAGCTCAATGGCAAAACACCTCTGGGTTCATCCCCAGTACAAAAACAAAATCAGTAAAATTTCAATGAATGACTTAGTAGTTGGAGGGCATAATAGACCAAACTTAGAATAATTATATACATATATATATATATAATTATGTATATAAGTATTCTAAGTTTGGTCTTATATACATATACATAAAATTATTTATATATACATATTTATAAAATAGAGCAAGTGGTGATGAGTGAATAAAGCAGGGGAAGCAAAAGAGAAAGAATTTGCAATTTAACAGGAAAAAGATCACAGTGAAAAGGTAATTGAGTAAACAGAGAGTTAACAAAATGCCCATGGAATACCTGAGGGAAAACATTCCAAAGCACAGGACAGAGCTGATGCAAAAGTTCCCAGGAGAAAAGCACACCTAACACACAGCAGGTAAAACAAAAAGCCCACCATTGCTGAACCAGAATAAGCAAGAAAAATGCATACTAAGATAACAGAATGATGGGGAAGTAAATATAGCTCAGCAGGAAACATCTACCAAGCATGTCTAAGGCCCTGAGAAGTGAAGATTAGGGCAGGTACAGAAGGGGAAAGGTCCATGAAGAGCAAAGAAAATGACAACCTGGGAGAGCGTTTAGCCTAAACAAGTATTGTATAAAATAGAATACAATGAGGTTGCAGAAAGACCGAAAATTGGGCTGGGGATGTGGCTCAAGCGGCAGCGCGCTTGCCTGGCATGCGTGCGGCCCGGGTTCACATACCAACAAAGATGTTGTGTCCGCCGAGAACTAAAAAAAATAAATAAATATTAAAAATTCTCTTCTCTCTCTCCCTCCTCTCTCACTCTCTCTTTAAAAAAGAAAAGAAAGACCGAAAATTCTGGGAAACAATGTAAACTGGTAGGGTGGTAAACAGTTTCTATATGTGAGAAAAGAAAATTTTAGACTGACATACATCAAAATTTTAAGGGAAGTGAGGTGTGGTGGTACATGCCTGTAATCTCAGAGGCTGGGGATGCTGGGGCAGGAGGATCACAAGTTCAGAGCCAGCCTCAGCAACTTAAGAGCCCTAAGCACTTAGCAAGACCCGCATTCTAAATAAAATATAAAAAGGGCTGGGAATGTGGCTAAGTGCCCCCTGAGTTCATTTCCCAGTATCTCCCCCTACCAAAAAAAAAAAAAAAAAAAATTAAGAGAAATTTCAAGACAACATCAAGAAGCTGTGGGAAAGCAAAAACATAATTTCACCACTAGTAAAGCAGGAAAAGCAAGGCAATGAGGAAAGAAAAGAAAAACAACAATACATGTGAAAACAAAGACAAAACACAAAGTAAGATAGCACAAAATAAAATGAATGAGTAAAAGTAAATGCATAAGTTAATAAGCCCAACAAATCAAAAGAAATAGACTGTCTAATAAAAGAACAAGATTAGGAATATCTACAGAAAAGCAAACATCAAAAAGATAATACAGGGGGCTGGGGTCATGGCTTAGTGGTAGAGCGCTCAGCTAGCACATGTGAGGTGCTGGGTTCAATCCTCAGCACCATATAAAAATAAATAAGTAAAATAAAGGTATTGTGTCCAACTACAACTAAAAATAAATAAATAAATAAAAAGATAATACAGGAATATGAAGAACAACTCTATACCCATTTAAATGGACAATACAGATAAAATGAACCAATTCCCTGAAAACCACAAACTACCAAAACACTCAGTTTTTAAAACAGATCTTTTAAATACACTTCTAACTTGTAATTAAGGAAATTTAATTCACAATTCTAAAACCCCTATGAGAAATTCCCATCCCCAAGTGATTGTACGAATTCTATCAAAGAAAGAATGAACCCTAGTTCTACATAATATCTATAAATAATACAAAAAAAGAGCTGAAGAACACTTCCAAATTCATTTTGTGAATCTAGTATTACCCTAAGACCAAAGCAAGAAAACAGTACAAAAAAATAAAACTATACATCAATATCCCTCATAAATACAGATGCTTAAACCCTTAACAAAATATTAGTAAATAAAATTCAGCAATGTTTAAAAAGAATTATTCATGTGACCTAGAAGGGTTTATTCCAGGGATGAAAAGGCTTGCTCACTGTTTGAAATCAACAAAGTACATGATATTAACAGCTAAAAAAGAGAAGTTCTATGATCAAATCAATCAATGCAAAAAAAGCAGTTGACAAATTCAGCAACTACTCACTATCAAAAACTCTCAGAAAAATAGAAGTGGGAAGGGAACTTCCTCAACTTCATCAACAGTATTAACCCCAAAACAATACAATACAAAAACCCCAAACCTAGCTCTCCTACCAGTTAATGGTGAAATTAACTGCTTTCCCCCCATAATTAATGTTGGGAATGAGGCACTTATTCAATATAGTGCTAAAAGTTCTAGTAAAATAAGAAAAGGAAATAAAAGGTTCAACAAGTTGGAAAGGAAAAAAGTAAAACTATTTACAGATGGTATGACTGCCTATGTAGAAAATCCCATCAAATCTACAAAATGACTCCTAGAACTAATAAGTGAGTTCAGCAAGGTGACAGAACACAAAACAAACACCAACCACATCATTACATCTTTATAAATAAACAGTGAACATGAGTAAAAAACAAGTTAAAAACATAACCCTATTTATAATCACTCCAAAGAAAATAAAATACATAATGTAAAAATCTAACAAATATGTATCGAACTTGTAAGCTAAAAACTACAAAACACTGGTGAAAGAAATCTAAGAACCAAAAACATGAATTCTTCATCTTGGACTGGTTAAGTGGCCCTCAGTTCATTCCCCAGTACCTCCCCCTAAACCCCCCAAAAATTTTATTTAAGAAAAATTTCAAGACAATATCAAGAGGCTGTGGGAAAGCAAAAACATAATTTCATGATTAGTTAAAACAGTTAAGATATCAGTCCTCCCCAAATTGATACACAGGTTTAACATAGTACCTATCCAAACCCCAGTAAGAATTGGGTATGGTGGTGAACACTGGCAATCCCAGTGACTTAGGAGACTGAGGCAGAAGGACCACAAGTTTGAGACCAACCTCAGCAACTTAGTGAGGCCCCCAAAGACTTGACAAGACCCTGTCTCAAAATTTAAAAAAGTACTGGTGAGGGGCTAGGATTATGGTTCGGTGGTAGAGCACTTGCTTAGCAAGTGTGAGGCACTAGGTTCAATTCTCAGCACCACATACAAATAAAAGTCCATCAACAACTAATATTTAAAAAAAAAAGTGCTAGTGATTGGCTCAGTGGTAGCGGGCACAAGGCACTGGGCTTAAACCCCAAGACCCAGTGGGGAGACCAGTCCATGTATTATTTTGTAATTTAACTACAGTAATCAGGCTGTGTAATATTAAGGAAAAGACAGATACATAGCTCAGTGGAACAAAATAGAAAGTCCAGAAATAGAACTACTCAGATATGCCTAAATAATTTTGACAAAGGTATCAAATGTATAAAAATGGCTTTTAACAAATGATACTAAAAACAACATCTATAGACTTAAAACAAACTACCATCTAAGTCTCCTAACTTCTACAAAAATTAACTCTAAGTGGATTGCAGACAAAAGTAAAAATAAAACTACAAAAAAACTTTTAATGGGAAATCTTTAAGATGTAGGTCTATGCAAAGAGTTCTTCGACTTGACACTATGATTAATAACAGGGAAAAAAGATATATTGGGCTGTATCAAAATTAAAACTTGTTCTCTGCAAAAGACCCCTTTAAAAGAATAAAAAGGCAGTCAAGAGGCTCAGAAGACATTTGCAAGCTACATACTTGACAAAGACTAGTATCTACAATATATTGATATTCTCAGAATACAATAGAAAAAAAATTTTTTTAAATATTTTAAAAGGACAAAAGACATGCAGAGACATTTCATCAATGGGGATATAGAGATGGCAAATATGCACAATAAAAAATGTTTAATATCATTAGCCTTTAGGGAAATGCAAATTAAAACCTCACTAAGTTATCACTTAGATACCTACCAGAATGGCTAAAATGAAAAACAGTGATAACACCAAATGCTGGCAAGGATGTAGAGAAACTGGATCACTCCATATATTGCTGGTAGGGATGAAAATGGTACAGCAACTCTGGAAAACATTTAGCAAGTTCTTTAAAATCTACACATAAAACAATCAGAAGATGCAGTAATTGCACTCGTAGGCATTTATCCCAGAGAAATTAAAGTTTAAAAAAAAAATTAGAAAACCCTATGAACAAAACTTTTATTGATAACTAAGCAAAAAACTATAAATTCAGATGTCTTTCAACAACAGATGGATAGTAGTAAATTCATACCACTGAATACAACTCAGCAATAAAAAGGGACAACCTTTTACACATAACAGCCCAGAAGAATTTCCAGAGAATTCTGCTGAATGAAGAGTGAAATCAAAAAGGCTAAATACTGTATGATTCAATTTATGAAAATTCTTTTTGTTTGTTTTGGTCCAGATATTGAGCTCAAGGGCACTTAACCAGTAAGCCACATCCCTAGCTCTTTTTTGGATTTTTATTTAGAGACAGGATCTCACCGAATTGCTTAACACCTCAGCTTTTGCTGAGGCTGGCTTTGAACTCGTGATCCTCCTGCCTCAGCCTCTCAAGTCACTGGGGTTACAGGCATGGGCCACCATACCCAGCCTATGTAACATTCTTGAAAAGACAAAAATCACCGAAGTGAACAGATTGATTCATGTTTCCCAGAAAGTAAGGGTTTGTAGCTAAATTATACTATGAGGGATTCTTAAGCAGTTAAAAAATAGTATCTTCATCCTGTCAGTGCCAATATCCTGATTTTAACACTGAACTGCAGTTTTGTAAGATGTCACCAACCAGGGACACTGGATAAAGAGTACATAGGATGCCTCTACTATTTCTTGAAACTGTAAGTGAACTGACAATTATCTTCATAAAATAATTTAAAATTACAAAGACCAAGAGTATCTGGACAGTAAATTTTTTTAATTCAATAGCATGATATTCACAAGACATATAATCAAAATAAAAGAACACAAATGTACAGAGAGAGAATTTTCAAAATCAGACAAAATTAACTGCCCAAAAGACATATAATCTAGATATATTAATTAATAACACCAGTATTTAAATCAAAACCATTCCTGGGTACATATTTAGTATATAGAGTAAAAGTTTCAGGCTGGGCATAGGGACACATACACTCATAATTCCAGCAGCTTGGGAGGCTGAGGCAGTAGGATCCTGAATTCAAAGCCAGCCTCATCAACTCAGTAAGGCCCTAAGAAACTCAGATCCTGTCTCTAAATAAAATACTAAAAAGAGCTGGGGATGTGGCTCAGCAGTTAAGCACCCTGGGTTCAATCTCGAGTAACAACAACAACAAAAATGTTTCAATTCAGCAGGAAAATAGAATAGATTTAAACTTTCATGTTCTAATAACAAAACATTTTTATCTGTTGCTAGAACTATAAGACAAAACTGAGTAAAACAATTAATAGAAAATGAACATAACTCTAAAAAAACAATGACATAAGGTTTTAGCGACATAATTAAAATACTAACAAAAATTATATAAATTAGCCAGGCACAGAGGAGCATGCCTATAATCCCAGCAACTAAGGAGGCTGAGGCAGGAAGATCATGCCTGAGTTCAAAGCCAGCCTCAGCAACTTAGCAAAGCACTAAAAGTAACTCAGGGAGACCCTGTCTTTAAATAAAATACAAAAATGGGCTGGGGATGTAACTCAATGGTTGAGTGTCCGAGTTCAATCCAGGTATCAAAAAAAACAAACAAAAAAAATTGTAAAAATTAACCACATCGTCTCAACAGATTTCAAAGAAATGGGATCATATAGAGCATGCTGCCTGGCCACAATGCTGTGTGCATAAATCAATAACAATTCACTAGAGGAACTCCCTATGCCTGGAAATTAAATTTTTAAAAAAGAATTCATAGGGAAAAAATAAAAAAGTGCAAGGGAAAGTACTACACATCAAAACTTGGGTGATGCAGAGAAAGCAATATTAAAACATCTTTGGTCTTAAAAATCCATACCAAGGGGATATAGCTCAGTTGGTAGAGTGCTTCACTCCCACACACAAGGCCATGGGTTCAATCCTCAGCACCATAAAAAAAAAAAAAAAAAAAGTCAGTCTATACTAAAATGCTGAAGCTAATAAAAGGCATTGAACTTATTAGGAAATAAGAATCATAAAAAAATAAAGAGAAACCAATGAAATGGGAAAAGGATACACTAAAGAGTATAATCAAAGCAAATTATTCTTCAAAGTGTTCAAAATTTGCAAAGTTTTAGCTTAAAATAAGAAGGCATTAAAAAAAGATAAAGGGAATATTACTAACACAGTATTACAAAATTAACAACTTAATACCATAAATTCAAGAATGTATATGAAGGGGCTAGGGTTTTGGCTCAGTAACAGTGCTTGCCTACCATGTGTGAGGCACTGTGTTCGACCCTCAGCACCACATAGAAATAAATAAACATTAAAAAAAAAAGAATGTGTATGAAATGAACAAATTCTTATAACCTACCAAAACAGGTTTGAAAATTGAAAACATAAACAATATAATCAAAATGACTATATCAGTAGTTAAGAAGCATCTCTCAAAGAAACCACTAGAGGTTAGGAACATAGCTCAGTGGTAGAGTGCTTACATGGCACACAGGAGGCCTAGTAACAATTGGGGAGTGGAGGGGGCATGGTACTGGGGCCCAGGGTTGCTTTATCACTGAGCTAATCCCCAACCCATTTTATTTTGAGACAGGGTCTTACTAAATTGCTTAAGGCCTCATTAAATTGCTGAAACGGGCCTTGAACTTGCAATCCTCCTGCCTTAGCCTCCCAAGTCATGGATTACAGGCAGGTGCACCACAAAGCCCAGCATTACTAACAATTTTATAAGAAAGTTCTATCAGACATTTCAAAAATACATCATTCTAATGTCATATAAACATTTCCAGAAGAGAAAAGATATGTTTTAAAAATTATAGGCAAGCGTTACTTATTATTTTAAATAAAAATCCTAATCCTAAATTAAGTATCTTCAAATTTAATTCAATAATGAAAAAAGAAACAGATCAGCATTTAATTTATATTTGAAACAGAAGGTTTGTTTAAGTAAGTTAAAAAATTAACCAATATTGGGCTGGGGATATAGCTCAGTTGGTAGAGTGCTTGCCTTGCACTCACAAGGCCCTAGGTTCAATCCCTATGACCACAAAAAATAGATAAATAAATAATGAATGTACTTCACTCTACTAACAGATTATAGAAGAAAATAGTCTCAAAAGATAAAGAAAAAGCTTTTGTGATTGAAAAAAAGTCAGCAAACCAAGGGAGCAAAATCTTCAGCCCACAAAGATTCTCTACAATTAGTAAGCATCATACTTAACTGTGAAACTTTTAAAGTATTTAAAATCAAGACCAAGAGCAGGATGCCTGCATCACAGCTTCTATTCAACACTGTACTGAAGATCCTAGCCAGCACATTAAAAAGAAAAAGAATTTACAAAAAAAAAAAAAAAAAGCACAAGAATCAGAAAAAACAAAGATGTCATTATTCACAAATAGGACTATCTCTAGAAAAATCCAAAGAAAATTTATAGATAATTTACCACAACTAGAAATGCAGCAAGGTTGTTATACAAAGTCCAGTTGTACTTCTAAACATCAGTAGTGTAGAAAATATAATTATAAAAAGACAATATTTATGATTTATTCTAAAGTATCTAGAAATAAAATCTAAAAAAATACTTGCAACAGCTTAATTGAAAATTATAGAACTTTACAAAAAGCTATAATAGATGTAAATAAATGGAGAGTATAATATTCATGGTTTAAAAATAACTAATTTACAGATTCAATGCATTTCTCAAACACGAAAATCCAAATGAGATGGGGTGGGGGAAACAAACAGATAAACAGATACAGAGACAGATAAAGAAACTCGAAAATATGATTCTCAAATTGTAGAATGAACCAATAAGCCAAAAAGTTCCTTAAAGAACAACTATAAGACCCACTGCTTCTGTCTCTTCTCAGTGACTCACTAGACTATTTCAGAACAACTGTCCCTGTGAGAATTTAACAGAGCATAATATTAAAAAAAGCATTTGTTTGAAGGCATAAAGTGTTACAAGGGAGTCAAGGACTCACTCTCCACCGGGCCCCCCTGGAACTCTCCGGGAACTCCACGAGAACTCAATGGGTTAAATTGAAGGTGGTTAAGATGCCTTCACTGCGGAGGAAAGATTGCATCATCCGAAGCCTAGTTAATCTTAAAAGCATTACTTAAAAACAAAACAAAAAAAAACCCCATGAAAATGGAAAGATAATAGGATAAAAGCAATTTGGAGAAAGAAGATTAGAAATTTGAAGTGGGAAACTTTGAAAACAGAAGTACAGGAAGGTGAAGAAAAGATAGAGAAGATGTAGAAAGATAAGAATTTTAAACCCACAAAATAGGAAGCAAAAGAAAACTAGGAGGAAAAAAAGCAACTAAGGGTGAATGTACAAACATTAGAAGAAAACGAGAAGATAGAAACAAGATAGAAAATGGTTGAAAATGTCAAGTAAAGGTATTTCAGATAGAAAATGCAAGAAGCTAAGACAACTATAGGATACAGACATTCAAAATAGAAAAAGGGGGGCTGGGGATGTGGCTCAAGCGGTAGCCCGCTCGCCTGGCATGTGTGCGGCCCGGGTTCAATCCTCAGCACCACATACCAACAAGGATGTTGTGTCTGCCAAAAACTAAAAAATAAATAAATATTAAAATCCTCTCTCTCTCTCTCTTAAAAAAAAAAAAAAATAGAAAAAGGTAGAAGAGAGAAGTTTGAAGTCAGTCTCATCCGGGACAGAAAAGATCCATTCTTTATAGGACATATCAGGGCACATACTGGATTGCCTGGAGCCCTTAGTTTGGGCAACGATTTAGCAGATAAAACTACACAGGACTGCTGAGGGCCATTGCCAAGTAGGAATGACGTATCGAAATTTCCTTGCCAGCGTACCCCATGTTAAATGGACTTGCCTTGGAAATTCGCTGTGACATTGTGTGTTTGAGAAAGGTGACCCTGCTCAAGGACCAGGGTGGATCCAGGTTTAGGGTGTA